TATATTATATTTCAACAGAGACAATAAGGAGGATTTGGAGTATATAGAAAACTTTCGACCTCAAAGGAAGGAAGTCAGACACATCAGAATTTTGCTCCATGGACCAGTTGGTTCTGGAAAGTCCAGCTTCATCAACTCCGTCAGTAATGTCTTACGAAGGAGAATGACCACCCCAGCCTTGGTCAGTGCAACCACATCTGACCAAAGTTTCACCTTGAAGGTAACGTTTCAAGTTTGTGGCACATGCATGAACTGTAAAAAATTTCGTTTTGCTAATCTTAGTTTTTCTATTCCTGTTTACAGTAGGGAAATTTTTTCTGCTGTTTTGTTTGCATCAATATTTTATCTTTACATTTTTTTAAATGTATTCCCTCAGTTTGAAACCCATAAAATCCAGAAAGATGTTGGAAAAAATTATCCCTTTGTGTTCAACGATGTCATGGGTCTGGAGGAAGGCGAGCGAGGAGCCCATCAGATGGACATCAGCCTGGCCTTGAAGGGACACGTGAAGGAGGGTCACAAAGTATAACTTTTCAAAATCCATTTATTACAATGATTCTAAAAGACAAACTATTAGCCTTGCATCCTCGTGGAGAAGGTCTTTAGGAACCCCCAAAGTATATACTTTTAAAAATCAGGAGGTGACAAAAGTCTGAAATACTTCATTTAACTTTTTGTGTGAACAACCTATACAGAACATTTTAACAACAATGTTATAGACCCAGTTACGATTTAACTTATGAGTGTGACAGTCAACACAAGAATAATGACAGATTATGTCCTGATGCTTCTCAGTAATCCAGGTAGATAATCTAACCAGGTTTAGTCAAGTCCTTTGGATGGATTCTTCTTGTTGAAAAGATTCATCTTTTATCAAAGACTTCTTCGGTCTGAGGAGCTGCAATAAACTCTTTTAAATAGCACCTTCTCATAGTGATTTTTTCATTCATTCAAACTTTATTTAGACGGTTAAATCCCATTGAGCCTCGAGGACTCATTTACAAGAGAGACCTGATTTCAACAAAAAATTATGACAACCATGGACAACTTCGACAACAATAGACAGTTATAACAAGGCATACAGATTATTATTATTTTTTTTACAAATAAGATGGCAAAAAAGTAGCAAAAACAGCTAGATTCTAAGGCGAATGTAGAAAACTAAAAACAGGAACATGTCTGCATTGGTCCCTGCCAGGAGTCCAACAGATTCTTAAAGACACTTAGAGAAGTCAAAGGTCGAGAGCTTCAAATCTTTTTGTAAGATATTCCAGGAAACAGGAGCGGAGTAGGAAAAGGTCCTTTTGTCTAGTTCAGTCCTCACTGAGGGAACACTGCAGGTAATAATGTCCTGAGAGCGCACGCTGTAGCTGCACTCACGCAGAGACATGTAGGAGGAGATGTATGAAGGCAGCAGACCAAGAAGTGATTTAAAGATGAAAATGTACCAGTGAGAGAGTCTGTGTGAAGTTAATGATGTCCAGTTAACCAGTGAATACTGGGTGCAGTGGTGGGTACGATAATCACAGCTGAGAAGAATCAGTCCAGAGGACCTGACTCAACCTTGTTAGAATGACAGATTACTTGTGTTTCAGCTCTTAACTATAGTCAAACGTGTACTTTTCATTTACAGTCTAACTCTGTTAAACGGACAACACGGAACAATGACTTTGCCTTGAACAGAGAAGAGCAAAACCTACTTCATATTACACTAAATACTCTTAGAACAAAAAGGTTTCTATCAATTTATCAAACTGACGTCAACACTCGTAACTACAGCATTTTGGGTTGTTTTGTATTTTTCTTTGTGAATAGACACATTTGTAGAGATTATGCTATGTTTATGAAGATATTTTTAGAGAGACAGACTGTGCTGATGGGGCCCAAGATTGTAAAGTTATCACTTTGTTATTCAGATGTTATTGTTTTTCTATGAATAACTACATTTGCATACCCTGACTACCACATCCTGCATCCTGACCCACCTTCAGCTAAACGTTGCCGGCAGGAGAATCAAGATATTGTTAAACACAAACTCTGACTCATAAACCTTTCTTTTTTGGATAGTTCAATCCCATCTCTCCACTATCCACTGATGATCCTGGCTACGTCTCTTCTCCATCTCCAGACGACATAGTTCATGTTCTGGTCTGCATTTATTCTGCTAATGTAGCACAAATTAGGACCTCCACATTACAGAAAATGAAAGAAATCAGAGAAGAGGCCAGCAAGCTGGGTAAGAACATATTGGAAATGCTAAGGATTATTCTGACAAATGCCTGTCTACAACCTAAAAAGCTTTGATTGTGGAGCATTGCATTTGAACAGCTCATTGGCACTTTGTAACATGTATGTACTTACACCTCAAGATTAGTGTAAGAGTACACAGAACAAATTCTTTTTGTGCAGGTATTCCTCAAATGGCTATTCTCACCAAAGCTGATCAGGCCTGCGAAGAAACTGAAAAAAATCTAAAAAATGTCTACAAGAGCAAATATGTAAAGAAAAAGGTAAGTTTCAGAGCGACTCCCTTAGAATATGAGTATAGCAAATTGATTATGTCAGTATTTGACCTAAAATGAAATATTATCTGTTTGAACTCTAGATGGCTGACTTTAGCTCAAATCTGGGAATTCCAATGAATTGCATCTTCCCTGTGAAGAACTACAGTCATGAAATCAAAATGGATTCAGACGTTGACACGCTGATCCTGAGTGCACTGAGACAGATGATTAACTTTGGAGAAGACTACGCCAACAAACTGGAAAGCAACAAAGCAGGCCGCTAATATATTTGTGAGAATCATAGCAACATGTGTGTTTAACTTTTAAAACACACGAACAATATTTTACAAATGCACTGATATTCTGAATATTCCAGTGACACACTGACATATACTGATCCTTTGGTGTCACTCTGGAGCAGGTTTGGGATGTGATCAATGGGATAAGTTACTGGTAATGAACATGCAAAGTCAACTTGCTTTTTAAATATAAAATGTTAATTTATTCAATCATAAAATATTTAGGAATGGCTATGTTTTAATGTAAGTGCTCCAAATGGCGGCATAAAATCATTGGTAACATTTTATAGGATTTGTATCTTGTCTTGTTTTTTTTTTAGACGAGAGTGATTCTGGAAAATGTTTTTCTCAACATTCCTTTGTTTTCTTTAAATCCAAATAAAACTTTTCAGAGTAGTCTACAAACTTATTGTAAAACATACTTATGAAAAGGTGAAACCATTTGTTCTGATAAATGAGTTGTTAAAAAAACACACTCAAAAGACATGTCTGTGTTGTGGAAAGTATAAAATACTTTCTAGGAAAGAAAATAAAGAATGGAAACCCAGTTTGCATTGGTGTGTCTTTTTTTTAACACTTTATTTATAAGATTTTCAAGTAAATTTATATAAAAATATACAAAGAAAAAACAAACAAAAAAAGACAAAAGACAAGCAAATAAGATATAAAGTGAAGATAACATAACTAAATAAATGATAAGATTGGGCAAAGTTCACAACTGTATTACCTCCTCAACTGTCCATCTTGTCAAGAAGACATAAATAATGTGGTTGAATAAAAGGAGCATCATTGGTCTTTTATATACTTCAAAACTGGATTCCATATCCTAAAAAACTTAAGAATGTTACCAGAAAGTTCATATCTCAGTCTTTCCACATGCAGAATACTTATGAGTTCAATCAGCCAGGTCTCAAATTTGGGAGCTAAATCAGACTTCCACGGTTTCAGAATACACCTTTTCGCAATCATCATAGAAAATGTTAGAGCAATTCGCATGTTACAATCTAGGTTTTTCAGGGTGTTGGAGTATCACAGCAGAGCAGTTTCAGGATCAGCTGTGACAGTGATGTTAAAGACAGATGGAAACCATTGAAAGATATGACACCAAAACTTATGTACATTTGGATGAAACCACCAAAGGTGAGCTAGAGTGCCTTCTGCTGCCTGACATCTGTTACAAAGTGAAGAAAGGTTAGAAAAAATTTTTAATTTAGTTTTATAATAATGTAATCTATTAACTATTTTATACTGAATCAGTTAAAGCCTGGCATTAATTGAGAAAGTCTTCATATTTGTAAATATTTCATCCCATGTTTCATCCTTGATATCATTAGCAAGCTCACCTTCCCAGGCTTTAAAAAAAAAAAAAAATTTTACTTAGAAGAATCCAAAGTACTTGAGAAAAAAAAATCTTCAGAGGGGCCTACGAGAGATTTTAACAATATATTATTCTCAGGTGGTAATTTATATGACTTTGTAGTCGGACATAATGTCTCAGTTGTAAATACCTAAAAAAAAGAGATTTTGCAATAGAAAATTTAAATTGCAATTGTTCAAAGGAGCCCAAATGTCCGTCAACATAAAGATCCTCTAAACAGACAATACCCATACAGCTCCACTCTCTAAAGGCAGTATCTGTAAGAGATGGCAAAAATTTGTTCTGCCAAATTGAAGCATGAACCATAATTGTTCCTGAACTGAACCTATTGAAGAACTGAACACGTTCTTCAACAGGTTCAGTTCAGGAACAAGCTCAGCATCCTCCTCTCTTGCCCACAGCCAAACAGACATACCACCCTCCACTGACCCAAGGCTGTCCTGTCACACCTCAAATACTGTATCTACCACCTCAGTCATGGACCCTTCTTCTACATATTGGTCTTCAACCAAATCAGAAGATGCTGATACCTCCTTTGCCTCCCCCCTCTGCGTCTCCAGAAGTCAGGTGAGGAAGCAGCTGGAGAGACTGAACCAGAATAAGGCTGCAGGTCCAGATGGTGTCAGTCCCAGAGTCCTGAAGGTCTGTGCAGAGCAGCTCTGTGGGGTTCTGCAGCACCTCTTCAACCTTAGCCTGACCCAGGAGAAGGTTCCAGTGTTGTGGAAAACCTCCTGCCTTGTTCCAGTACCAAAGAAAACTCACCCATCAGTCCTCAATGACTATAGACCTGTTGCCCTGACATCCCACATCATGAAGGTCCTAGAGAGACTTCTGTTGACCCATCTGACTAGACAAACAAGCACATATCAGGACCCACTGCAGTTTGCTTATCAGCGTGGACTTGGAGTTGAAGATGCCATCATACACCTGCTTCAGCAAACTCACTGTCATCTAGAAAAGGCAGACAGCACTGTGAGAGTCATGTTCTTTGAGTTCTCCAGTGCATTTAACACAATCCAGCCTGATTTGCTTTGTCAGAAACTCCAGAAGACTCAGGTGGAGGCCTCAACAATCACCTGGATCAAAGACTACCTGACAAACAGTTTGTGAGACTGAAGGGTTGTGTGTCCAACCAGGTGGTCAGTAGCTCAGGAGCACCACAGGGGACTGTACTCTCACCACTCCTTTTCACTCTGTACACCTCAGATTTCCAGTACAAAACAGACTCCTGTCATCTGCAGAAATATTCAGATGACTCTGCAGTGGTCGGGTGTATCAGAGATGAACAAGAAGCTGAGTACAGGGAACTGGTGGACCGCTTTGTGGCATCAGAATAAACTTTATTGGAATTGCACCGAGGTACAACGCGAATATGTACGTCCAGTCGTCCGAAAGATGGGTGGAGTGCACGAAGCTGCAACTACAGGAGAGTGCGGCCATTTTATCCTTATCAGATAATAATCTTAGATATGAAAAGGGGGAGAAACATGAGGGTAGATAGTGATATTACAAAAAAAGATCTTTCACATCTTGTCTATCAGGACACAATTTGAGACATCAAAAAACTCTACCAGCAGCTCAGTTAAAACATGATTACATTTGCATTTGAAATCAAGGTGTTGAGATTTGTCCATGAGCTTTTTTTTTCAGATCAGCCACAGTTTCTGAAGATGTTGTTTTCAGCCAGCAGTACTGATAAGCCTGCACAGAGAGTTCTCGGGGGGTGCTATAGATGAGCTTTTGTCCTTGGGTACTCATGTCCCAGGAGAAATTGATAGTCGGCCTGTCTCCGAGGCCATTGGGAGTCAGATTAGATAAGTTTAATATTTGTTTTTCTTCAGGCAGACAGATTACTTTTTTCTTCAGCCTTGAGTCCATCTGGGCGTTCTGGTTCCGAAAAAGCCTAATTGTGGGATTCCATTCCACTGATCCATGCTATGAGTCTTCTTCGAACCCACCACGCTGACGAGTCCCAGAAGCCGCAGGTGGTCTGCGATTCTCAATCGCCTCCACCTTACGGTTAAGCTCGTAAACCAAACGATTTAAAGTTCCCACAGCGAGGACCAGACCTTCACACTGACTCGGAAGCTTTTCCATGGCCGAAACTGCTCCCGATGTCTTCTTCAAAAGTCGATAAAACAGAGCCCCGCTGATGCCAAAAAGCAGAGTCCCTGCTATCATAAATCCAAATATGTAAATGTCTTCAACATCTTCTTGAGACAGAACAGAAAGGCACATCATCTGCCACACTCCCCACGAATCCATGACGTACCCCACAGCGTGAGTCTCAGCTGGACACGCCGGTTCTCCAGGACCTTGTCGCTTTGATGAAAAAATCTTATCATGGTGTGGAAACAATCATCTCATCTTGAATGTGAACAAAACAAAGGAGATGATTGTAGGTTTCAGGAGAAACAGGAACAGGTCCAACTCTATTTCCATCATGGGAGAAGAAGTGGAGGTGGTGGAGAAGTATAAATACCTTGGAGTTCACCTGGACAACAGACTGGACTGGAGATGCAACAGTGAAGCATCTACAAGAAGGGACAGAGCAGACTGTACTTCTTGAGGAAGCTGAAGTCCTTCAGTGTTTGCAGCAAGATGCTGCATATCTTCTACAAGTCTGTTGTAGAGAGCGCTGTCACTTCTGCCATCATCTGCTGGGGGAGCAGCACCAGAGCAAGTGACTTAAAAAAGATCAACAAGCTCATAAAGAAGGCTGGCTCAGTTCTGGGGACTCCTCTAGAACCTTTGGAGATGATTGTTCAAAGAAGGATTCTTCATCAAATGAAGAACATTATAGACAACCCCCAGCATCCTCTTCATCAGACTGTCATACAACATCAGACTGTCATACAACAACAGACTGTCATACAACATCAGACTGTCATACAACAACAGAGTGTCTTCAGTCAGAGGCTTCTTCAGATCTGTTGTAGGACAGACGCTACAAGAGATTCTTCCTGCCCACAGCATCAGCATCTAGAAGAACTCTTTAATGAAACCAGGATGATGAGTTACAACAACATTTAATTTACCTCTGGGATTAATAAAGTATTTTTGAATTGAATTGAATTGAACAAAACTTTACGTATGTGTGGAAGTTTATGATGCACCCCAAACTTACCTAGTCCTCTAACTCCCACCACAAAGATTAAGGCAAAGAGAACTGCACCAGAACAGCAACACAGATGTGCTAAACAGTTAACAGCATGAATTCTGTTGTGAATTGGAGCTTTATAAACAAATCTAAAAAAGTTAAATCTGGTCCTCTGGACATTCAAAAAAACAAAACAAAGCAAATCAACAAAAAAATGTAGAAACGTTTCGTCTCTCATCCAAGAGACTTCCTCAGTCTGAGGTGCTGTATTCAGCTCAGTCTCTTAAATAGCACCTTCTTAGAGTGGATCAACCAGTTTGCTGCTGACAACCAAAACCAGCTGTTCACATGCTCAAGAAGGACCATCAGCCTAACAATGGATCATTAGCACCTGATGGCTGTTTACTGTTCACAGAGGGCTGAGTGATACTAGCAATCACAGCATTGTAAGAGGGGGACAGTTGAACCCGGAGGCCTCCACCCCTGTTTAATGATGGACGGTTTCTT